CTTCCAATTGCCCCGTCTTTGCCCTCTAATTGCCCTGTCTTTATTCTATAATTGCCATGTTCTTTTTTTCCAATTGCCCCATCCGTGCCCTCTAATTGCCCTGTATTTTTTATTTAATTGCCCTGTCCTTATTATTTAATTGCCCTGTCCTTATTATTTAATTGCCCTGTCCTTTTCTTCCAATTGCCCTGTCCTTGCCCTGTCCTTGCCCTCTGATTGTCCTGTCTTTTTTCTTTAATTGCCCTGTCCTTTCACCCAGTCTTTTTCCACGTGTTGTTAGAGCCATGCGTGTGGTAGGTGCGGTTGTTCCCATGACACGTGTGCGGTGGTTGGTATGTGACTGTGTTGTATGTGTTGTTATGTGACTGTGTTGGTATGTGACTGTGTTGTCTGTGTTGGTATGTGAATGTGTTGTCTGTGTTGGAATGTGACTGTGTTGTCTGTGTTGGTATGCGACTGTGTTGTCTGTAATGTTATGTGACTGTGTTGTCTGAGTTGTTATGGCCATGCGTGTGGTTGGTATGTGACTATGTTGTCTGTGTTGTTACGTGACTGTGTTGTCTGTGTTGTTATGGCCATGCGAGTGGTTGATGTGGTTGTTCCCATGACACGTGTGCGGTGGTTGGTATGTGACAGTGTTGTCTGTGTTGGTATGTGACTGTTGTCTGTGTTGGTATGTGACTGTGTTGTCTGTGTTGGTATGTGACTGTTGTCTGTGTCGTTATGTGACTGTGTTGTCTGTGTTGTTATGGCCTTGCGTGTGGTTGGTGCGGTTGTTCCCATGACACGTGTGCGGTGGTTGGTATGTGACTGTGTTGTCTGTGTTGTTATGGCCATGCGTGTGGTTGGTGCGGTTGTGCCCATGACACGTGTGCGGTGGTTGGTATGTGACTGTGTTGTCTGTGTTGTTTGTGACTGTGTTGTTATGGCCATGCGTGTGGTTGGTGTGGTTGTTCCCATGACACGTGTGCGGTGGTTGGTATGTGACTGTGTTGTCTTCTCTTGTCACTGAGTGGGCTGTTATTGTGTACTGCTGCCGCCCGTTTTTAAGGTTATAGAATGTTAAGATTTTATAAAACCTCTCGTGCAGTAAGAATCGATCTTCTGTAGTGTTACCTATGACTGTCCGGGCAGCACTACCAGACAGTTATGCTAAGGATATATACCACCCATTGTACTCAACATTGGCCTTCTTTTTTTTGGGTGTTTATGCGTTTTGGATCTATATTCGATTCGGGATATGGCAGCTATTTTTAGGTACACACACACATATATATATATATATATATATATATATATTTATATATAACACACTACCCTCACGTGTTCCTCTGTCCCATACATCCATATACCATACTGGTCATATACACTACTACATCACCTGCGTTCTTTCTCCCTTCTCCCCTTGCCTTCTGCATAGACCATGGCTGCCATCCGTTGCCGTGAGCCTGTGTCTTCTGGGCTGGTGATCCTATTGGATGGTGGTATGGGTGAAGAGCTGTTCCGCAGGGGCATGCCAGACGACAGGCGACTGTGGTCCGCTCAAGCAGTGCACAACCCAAAGTACCACTCACTGCTACAAGATGTCCACGAATCATTCATACGCGCGGGTAGGTGTGTGTTGTATGGCGTATGCGTGACTGTGTGGTTGTTAGTGTGCATCGCTTGCGGGGTGGGGATGTGTACTCGGATGAGGAAGGAAGTGGTAAGATTATACGCTGTGCACACATGCTTTACCTACACACGTGC